CGGTGACCACTGCTCCACGGGAGCAAATTCAAGCTCAAGTCAGCACTAACAACTATTCTCGCGGTGGCGCCGCCGCCTCCAACTGGCGTGGTGGAGGAGGAGGCAACGGTCGTGGTGGAAATGGCCACGGCAATCGTGGCGGACAGGCGGCCCACGGTCGAAGCAACTTCTATCGGGGGAACAACCGCGGATATCGCGGAGGAGGTGGTAGTGGAAACACCCGAGGCCACTTTAACTACAACTTCTACTAGCGCACAACATTCATGAAGCCACTTTTTGAAGCATTTTGGCATAGCCACAACTTTTAGTCACAACTTTCTTTCGCTCATTTACTTTCTCTTGCTCAACAACTACCTCTCAAGTGTTTTCGAGAATGAGTAAGCAAAGTTTTGTTTTCAATATTTTTGTAATTAAAATGAAAATGTTTGTTTTGTTTGATGGGGAATGTTGCCCTGCTTACGGCTTTTGCTTGACTTTGTGTACTTCAGCTGGGGCATTACGTCCTGGGGTGGCTGCTCGCTTTACCGTCTTCTTCTGATGTTCGCCGTTTTTCGGCGTAAAAGGCTTCTTTAGCATCACCTTGGACGAGCGATCTGATTTGGCCGACCGAGTGGACTTTTTGCTCTTTGAACGGCTCTTTTTGGGCGAACGAGTCTTGGGCATGTTCGCTGGGAAAAAAATGTCAAAAGGTCATAAACATCTTTTTTCGGTTCCTCTACTTACCGGGCGCCTTGGCGGCAAAATCCAGCACCGGTGTGTGATTGGCGTGCTTCGATTTGTAGGCTTCGCGGTTCTCTGCACTCTTTGAGACGAGGACGCGAAGCAGGAAGGAGGCCTCCTCGCCGGGTGCAAACGTGCTCGGAACGAGTAGGTATCGAGCTGGCTGCAGCTGAAAACGCCCACTCACCCCTCGCCTCTCCGCAAAGTCCACCCGGGCGATGCTGTGCTTTGTCTTGAAGAAGTTCTCCACCGTGAACTGGTCCTTCTTCGCCTGAACCAGCGAACCGCCCTTTTTCTGCTCCTCAGCGGACAGTTCGCCCACCAGGTAGATGGCGAAGCCTGTTTTTTAAACGAAAAAAGGAAAATGAAACAGTTGACAGACAAGCACACTTACCAATGCGAATGGGCGTGTACTTCTTGACCATCTTTCGGTAGCGGAAGTACTTCTGCATCAGCGAGATGACCACCGTGTTGAGGTTGTTCTCCTCACCCTCCTCATCCTCCACGTCCGCCTCTGCGATGGTCAGCACGTACATTGGATTGAGGGTGAAGGTAGTGTCGAGGTGTGTGGCACAGCCGCCCGCAGACACGCCCTGTTTCCACTCGCCCGTCTGCTCGTAGTAGTTCCACAGATAGGTCTCCGAGGAGCTGACGCCCGGGCCGGCGTTCACCACGTGACAGCACTCGAAAACGTTGAAGTACTCAATGAAGTGCGGGTAGGGCATCCAGAACTCGCCGTCGTCGAACTTCTTCAAGCCAATCTTCTCCTTCACCTCAGCAGAGATGGATTTCCACTCTGGGGAGCCGTCCGACCAGGGGCCGTTCCACTCGCACCGGCCCCAGGGATTTCGAAGGCGAAGCAGGCGGACCACTTTGCCCTTGTACCAGAGGCGGCACATTCCTGTGAGGGCGTACTCGTGCTTTAAAATGAGGCCATTCGTCAGCTCGTCCTCAACCTTTCCCTCCTTCCGACTGATGTACGTGCAGACGAGCGAGTTGCGCAGGTAGTACCGGTAGAGAATGGCGAAGAGATCGGTGGGAACGTCTTTGCCCGTTTCAAAGGCGAAGATCTCGGCGACGCCGCCGGTGAAGTCGACGAAGGCCTCGCAGGCGTTGCCGAAGTTCAGTGCCTCAAAACCGCCGTTCAGTTTGGCGTACGCTTTCTCCAACAACGCCAGCCAGAACTCGTTTTTTGAGGCGGAGTGGCCGAGCACGAGGGCGCCGTCCACGGTGGGCAGGAAGTCGTCGATGACCAGGGTCAGCCATTCTCCGTAGAAATAGAAGCAGAAGCGAAAGATGCCGGCGTAGTCCTCCTTAGCGAACGACTGCGCTGGGACGATCTTTGCGAAAAGGCTCTTTCGGGAAGTTATTGTGGAGACGGCCGCTGAAATAGATTTGAGGTTAGTTGTATTGAGTTTTGAAGTTGTAATCAATCAAAAGGAACCTATGAACCAGCAGTCGCTCAGTTTGCCCTGTGCGACGTCGAAGCGCGTGGCACCGCCCTCAATAAAGTGCGGCTCCTTGCAGATGTCGTGCGGTCGAAGCCACTTGACCTCCTTTCCGGCCAGTCGTCCCTCGCTGAAGTACTCGCCCTGTTTCTCGTGCGGAAAGGCGTCGTCCTTGAAAAGTGACCCTTTCTTCTTCAACAGCTCTTCCTTGAGCTTCTCGTAGTTTTGCTTTTTAACGATCTCATCGAGATGAGATGGTGCGTCGCCCATTTTATTTGCGTGGAACTGGAAATAGGCCATCGACTCAAATAATATGGTTTTCGAATTTCCAGTGATATTTGATCATTGTTGATGACTGCCACTTTGAAATAAAACCTGTCGGCCATTTGAAAACAATTGTTAGAGTAAACATCAATATCATGACAGAAAAGTCAAAACGCCTGAACAAGCTCGACTTTGACGAAAAGCTGACCAACCTCTTCGAGGCGAAGGGCTACGCCGTGGACGAGCTGATCAGCCGAGGCGCCTACGGGCAGGTATATAAGGCGAGGGACCTGAAGAAGAAGCGCATCATTGCTCTAAAGGTGATGTTCATTGAAAAGATGAAGCCCAAAATGGTCGGGACCTTTCTCTCGCGGGAGATCGAGATTCTGCGGCAGCTGGCGGAGAGGCCGCACCGCTTCATCGTCTACATTCTCGAGGTGCTGTACGCCCGTGGCAAGCTAATGGTTTTTATGGAGTACACCGCCGAGGGCGACCTGACGGTCTTCCTGCGGAAGAGTGGGCCGGTGAAGGAGGCGCAGGCGGCGATCTGGTTCGCTCA